CTCGGGGGAGGCATGCGGTGGCGGATAGAAAGCCCTAATCCTGATGACTCTCGACCTAAAGGCCGACGTGATGACCTTGGGGAGAAAAGCCGGATTGGGCCACAATACCACCATGCCGTCGCCCTCTCCAAGGACAGGCAAGACGCATGGACAGAGAGCGCACACAAGTCGCCCGCCCTCTTAGCAGACGCCAACGCCAACGCCAACAAGAGGGCCGTCTTAAAGCGACACACTCGGGACTCGCCTCCGCCGCCGGTTCAAAAGGCGGACCCGACAGCCCCCTAAGGACCACCCTGAGGTCCCAAACCGGGGCGTTCTCTGGAGCGGGGGCCTCCTCCTGCGTGCCCCCCGCAGAAAACGTTTAAACCAACGGATGAGAGCGGGCTGTGAACCCCCCGAATCCGTCGTGACCCGAAGTAATGGCTGCCGCGAACACCGCCAAGGTGGCGACAGCCCTCCCCTTGTCAAAGAGCTCCCGTAGGAATCCCAGGCCCCCTCCAGCGGGCAACGCCTGGGATCCCAGGAACGAAAACCGCACCAGTCGCTAAATAGCCTCCACCTCGTGGCGTAGGCCCTCACAGTGGACGGCGCCCTCGCCCCCTGAGTGGTCTCCACCACCGCAGGGGGAAGACCCAGGTCTACGAGGTCCCGCCTCTCAGCCTCCAACCCAGAGCCTGCGGCCGATTATCGGGCGTGAAAACAGGGCTCCTCCCCCCCTGGACTAGAGCCCCCGGCTCGTCCGGGAGAGCCCAGGGCTCCATCACCGCCATGCCCCTCAGGAAGGGGAACCACCGAGCATGCGGACTGTCCGGCGCCACCAGGATCACCGACCTCCTCTCCTGTTCGATCCTCCGCAGCAGGACCGGCAGGAGACGCACTGGTGGGGAACGCGTACAGCAGGCCCCCTGGCCAGGGGTAATGAGCCAGAGCGTCCACGTCTAAAGGCGGCTGGTCCGCGGCCCTTGAGGCGAACCAGGACGGGCACTGTGCGTTTCCTGCACTGGCGAAAAAAGGTCGACCACTGGACGGCCGAACCTCCGCCAGATCTCCGCAGCCACCCCTGGGGCCAGGCCCCACTCGTCCTGGAGTGGGCCCCCCCACGTCGGCCCCCCTGTTGGCCCCCACGTTCCGGACCCCCGGGACGTGGCGCGCCCTGAGAGACAGGAGGTGAAGCGCCGCCCACAGCAGCGTCACCTTTGCCATGCGATGGAGAGCGGGGGGACCTGGTGCTCCCCTGCCTGTTCAGATAGGAGACCACTGTGGTGTTGTCTGAGCGCACCATCACGTGTCTCCCCTGCAGCTGAGGAGCAAAGTGCAGCAGTACCCTGTGCACTGCCTCCATCTCCAGCAGGTTGATGTGATGGGCTGAGTCCGACCAGCAGCCTCCTACAGAACTTTGGCCGAGGACCCCGCCCCATCCTTCGAGCGACGCGTCCGTGAACATCTCCACGTGAGACACGGCGCCGGCCAGAGTCACTCCGTCCCGTAGAAGACCCGGAGTGAGCCAGAACCTGATGTTCGATGCTGCCACTTGGGGAACCCAGATCAGCCTCCCCCCGTCCCGGGAGGGGTGAAGCCTGAGGCGTGAGAACCACCTCTGAAAATTCCTCATGTGGAGAAGGCCTAGCCGCACCACAGCATGAGCCGCCGCCATCATTCCCAGCAGGGACCTGAGGCGCCGAGCGGGGACTCTGGGGCCCGCCAGAACCTCCCCGGGCAGACGGGTAGTGTTCATCCGTCTGTCCACGGACCATGCAGCACGGAATGTCACAGAGTCTAGCTGCAGACCGAGATAGATCATGCGCTGAGCTGGTTGCAGCCTGCTTCTACGTCATGGTGCTACGTCCCCTAGCGGACTTCGCTAGTGGGATATCACGTGCACCTATTCGTAGAACTTAAGTAACAAAGGTAACTGTTAATTTTCTCCCTGTTAACCACAAAGCCCAGGCGCTGTATGTGGGACAGGACCCAGTGCGTATGACTCACGGCCACTTCCCTGGGTGAGGCCAGAATCAACCCGACGTCTATGTAGATTAATTCTTACCCCTGCTCCACGGCGCGAGTGCGTAGCCCAAGGGGAAAACGACAGTACTCGTAATTCCTCTCTCCAACTGCGAAGCGCAGAACCTCCTGTGTTCCGGTACTATCGGCACGTGGAAGTACGCATCTGTCAGGTCTATGAAGGATATCCAATCTCCCTGCCTGACACACTCGAGGAGCTGCTTTGTGGGCAGCATCCGAAACTGCCGTTTGGAAATGCACTCGTTCAACACGCAAAGATCCAAAATGGGACGCACCCCGCCTGACTTCTTTGGCACTAAGAAGTAAGGGGAGTACAGCCCCCTGGTGGCGTCCTGTGGGTCTACCTCCACTGCTGCGCCTAGGCTCAGCAGAGAGGAGACCTCCGCTTGCAGTGCCTCTAATGACCCCGTACCTGAGAGCGTGCTGCCCGTACGCCTCGGAATGGTGGTGGCTTCTGGGAGAATTGCAGTGCGTAACCCCTGCGCAATGTTCTCTCCCGCCATAGATATGTCAGCCATCTTTGCTCCCTCCAGATGCTGTAGAAGTCTGTGAGGAGCGGAACGGGAGCTGGAACACGAGACGTCACGGCCCCGCCCTCTCCTGGTGTTCCTAGCAGGGAGGGGGGGTGGACGAAAGGGCCGGGGGGGCACCCTGCGTCACACCGTGAGCGCCGGGGGCGGTCACGTGTCCTGCAGGCCCGACGTCATAAGTACGGGACTGCTCATCCCACGTGACTCGGCTGCTGTGCCCCCCCCTGGCTCTTGCCTCATGGAGGGGGGGGGCGAGCCCCTGGAGTGGGAAACCCCGTGTTAGCCCTGTAGCTCAAAAATGCTAACACGCGTTCGGCCGAAGCACAAACATATCACTCACCAGATCCCTCCGCCTGACCTCTCTCTGGGAGGGCATAGTATGGATCAGAGAAACCGGAGCTCGTAGTGCACTGCACGCCCCTCTCTGGGGCTGCAGGCCTAGCGAAGCAACGTTATGTGCCCGGGAAGTAACACAATCAGAATTCACAATATTTGACATGTTACATACCCCCAAATCAGACTCAGAAAAGTAATGGAAATGCCGGTCGGCCTTTATTGAAGGAAAAATTTTTCCACCCCGGCCTCCTCTACCATAGGGAGGTCGGTGGTGGGTGCGTTGCTCCCGCGAGCCACCCATGGGTCTATCTGGACCCGGGGGCCTCGTCAAGGGGGGACGATGGATAACAGAGCGCAGATACGGGTCAGGATGCCTCCCGGGCCAACGCTCTCGACCTCTGTCCCGGCTCCGTGATGGTTGGTGGGCCTCGCGCCTCGGTGCTAGGTGCGGGGCTAGCCTAGCCGAGTCTTTAGCTGCAGACTCCAGTCTCGCCACCCAGGCCTGCATGTCCGGGCCGAAGAGGGACATCTGAGAGGTGGGCAGGTCCAGCAGCTGCCTCCTTTCCGCCTCCCTGATATTAGCCAGCCCAAGCCAAAGGTGCCTGGCCCGACTTGGGCTGCTGCCATGGAGCGGCCACCATCCACAGCTAGCGTCTGGCACATGCGCAGAGTCGCCGCCGAGGTGGTCCTCGCCTGTGACAGGAGGTCTCCACTGAGCGCCTGGTCAGAAGAGAGCAACATATCCAGGGCCCCCGTGATGAATGCCATGTAGTTAGTCAATGCGAGGACCTGTGCTGCAATGGCATAACATCTATCCGGCATCGCCAAGACATCCTGTCCCGCTCGGAGGGAAGGAGAGGTCTGGTGCCGGGCCACACGGATGCGGAGGGCTGCAGGGCCATGCGGACTGAATCCTCGGTGTCCTGGCCACCATCCACGGCTAGCGTCTGGCACATGCGCAGGATCGCCGCCGAGGTGGTCCTCGCCTGTGACAGGAGGTCTCCACTGAGCGCCTGGCCAGAGGAGAGCGCCCTATCCAGGGCCCCCGTGATGAAAGTCATGTTGATAGCCAATGTGACGACCTGTGCCGCATTGGCATAATATCTATCCAGCCTCGGCAAGACATCCTGTCCCGCTCGGAGAGAAGGAGAGGTCTGGTGCCGGGCCACACGGATGCGGAGGGCTGCAGGGCCATGCGGACTGAATCCTCGATCACCGGTCCAGGACCAGTCCTGCCCGCTGCAGTATATGTCGTACCCCAGTGCAGGCCTCTTGGCTGCTAGGGGCTTAGGCCACTCACGTGTCGCGTAATGGACGAACGGGTCCATCCGCGGGCACAACGTGGGTTTTATCCTCCTCCTCCCTCGAGTGGTGGCGCCCACAGAGGTGAAGTCCTCCACCGTCTGGATCCAGTGACGACGTCCGACGCCGGAGGGCGAAGGGAACTCGGACGAACAAGGAAGACATCTCAGAATGAAGTAAGTACTGTGGTAGATCTCGAACGGCGCCAGAGTGAAAGAGGGGGTGCGGCCTTGTGCAGGGGCATTTATAGAGGAAGGTGGCTGGTGATTGGAGCAAATTATTTTGATCTCTCTGGCGTGTGACCTGGGGGTCACGAGTGATATCCCACTAGCGAAGTCCTAAGGGACGTAGCACCATGACGTAGAACAGTACACTTATACGGAGCCCTGCAAGGGCCAGGGGTAAAAAAATAAATAAACTGTGAGCACAGATTGTTAAACTGTGAGCACAGATTGTTAAACTGTGCGCACAGATTGTTAATCTGTGCTCACAGTTTATTTATTTTTTTACCCCTGGCCCTTGCAGGGCTCCGTACACTTACACTTTCTTTGCCTGGCCAAAACAGACTGTAACTGTAGTACTTTTGGCTCCACCTGCTGGTTATACATGAACCTCTGCAGTTTGCCTTTTTGCTTCTAACTAAAGAAAATAATACCTCCTTCCTTGTTCTTTTTCTGTCCTTCCTTGTCCTTGCTTGTCCCTTCTTGTCCATATTGCTTTATTGATACTTAATCAGAATGCTTTTGATTCTAGTTTTAGTTTAAATTATTTTCTGAGAACAATAGAAAAGAGAACAGTGGAGACACTCACCTCCTCCATGGCTTTGACACAAGTAGGGAAAGCGCCACACATTTCCAAGTCCTATACAAAACCCAACGCAGGTGAGGATGTACTGAGCCTTGTTGTCCCACTTGGGCCTGTCCTGGAGCACCTCTTGTTCCAGTTTCTCCAGCTGCTCATAGTCGAGTATTCGCTGCTCCAGCCCTGGGTTCGGTAGCACCAGCCTCATGGTGGAATTAATGTTCACTCAGTCTGTTCCGCTACTCTATTGTACCAAGGCATTATCTCCACAGATTAGATCTGCACTTTTGCCTTTTACAACCTTTTAAATATTCTTGTGAAATGGTTGTGCTGTTAATGTCCCATGTATGAGGGCAGATGTTTTTGTAACATGTTCTTCATTTTGAGTTAGTTAATGGATCACTCTTTGTTTCAACATGCAAAATACTTCTAAGGCTATGCAACCCAACCTGACCAACACCACTTATATAAGTAAGTACTTTTATTTATATAGTGCATTTTACAGACCAAGGTCACCCATAGCGCTTTACAATGTTCAGAGTTCAGATATTGTTCTATTCTCTCCACACACGGTTATGACGGAAACAAGACGCCAAACACACTGGCGCATCAAAGCCCCAACCAACACCCTCCGTTCACTCATTCATTACATTCATACCTATTTTGCATGTTTTTAGTGGTAGGGGAAATCGCAGCACATGTGTGTGTGTGTGTGTGTGTGTGTGTGTGTGTGTGTGTATATACAGTGCCTTGCGAAAGTATTCGGCCCCCTTGAACCTTTCAACATTTCGCCACATTTCAGGCTTCAAACATAGATATAAAAAAAATATTTTTTGTCATGAATCAACAAGTGGGACACAATCGTGAAGTGGAACAAAATTTATTGGATAATTTAAACTTTAACAAATAAAAAACTGAAAAGTGGGGCGTGCAATATTATTCGGCCCCTTTACTTTCAGTGCAGCAAACTCAGTCCAGAAGTTCAGTGAGGATCTTTGAATGATCCAATGTTGTCCTAAATGACTGATGATGATAAATAGAATGCACCTGTGTGTAATCAAGTCTCCGTATAAATGCACCTGCTCTTTGATAGTCTCAGGGTTCTGTTTAAAGCACAGAGAGAACCATGAAGACAAAGGAACACACCAGGCAGGTCCGAGATACTGTTGTGGAGAAGTTTAAAGCCGGATTTGGATACAAAAAGATTTCCCAAGCTTTAAACATCTCAAGGAGCACTGTGCAAGCAATTATATTGAAATGGAAGGAGTATCAGACCACTACAAATCTACCAAGACCCGGCCGTCCCTCCAAACTTTCATCTCAAACAAGGAGAAGACTGATCAGAGATGCAGCCAAGAGGCCCATGATCACTCTGGATGAACTGCAGATAACTACAGCTGAGGTGGGAGAGTCTGTCCATAGGACAACAATCAGTCGTGCACTGCACAAATCTGGCCTTTATGGAAGAGTGGCAAGAAGAAAGCCATTTCTCAAAGATATCCATAAAAAGTCTCGTTTAAAGTTTGCCACAAGCCACCTGGGAGACACACCAAACATGTGGAAGAAGGTGCTCTGGTCAGATGTAACCAAAATCAAACTTTTCGGCCACAATGCAAAACGATATGTTTGGTGTAAAAGCAACACAGCTCATCACCCTGAACACACCATCCCCACTGTCAAACATGGTGGTGGCAGCATCATGGTTTGGGCCTGCTTTTCTTCAGCAGGGACAGGGAAGATGGCTAAAATTGATGGGAAGATGGATGGAGCCAAATACAGGACCATTCTGAAAGAACCTGTTGGAGTCTGCAAAAGACCTGAGACTGGGACGGAGATTTATCTTCCAACAGGACAATGATCCAAAACATAAAGCCAAATCTACAATGGAATGGTTCACAAATAGACGTATCCAGGTGTTAGAATGGCCAAGTCAAAGTCCAGACCTGAATCCAATCGAGAATCTGTGGAAAGAGCTGAAGACTGCTGTTCACAAACGCTCTCCATCCAACCTCACTGAGCTCCAGCTGTTTTGCAAGGAAGAATGGGCAAGATTCCAGTCTCTCGATGTGCAAAACTGATAGAGACATACCCCAAGCGACTTGCAGCTGTAATTGCAGCAAAAGGTGGCGCTACAAAGTATTAGCGCAAGGGGGCCGAATAATATTGCACGTCCCACTTTTCAGTTTTTTATTTGTTAAAAAAGTTTAAATTATCCAATAAATGTTGTTCCACTTCACAATTGTGTCCCACTTGTTGTTAATTCTTGATAAAAAAATAATTTTTATATCTTTGTTTGAAATGTGGCAAAATGTTGAAAGGTTCAAGGGGGCCGAATACAGACATACACTGTATGTCTGAATATACTGTATATATAGTGTATGTGTATGTATATATATATATATATACACACACACATATGTGTTCATGCATATACATAGTGTGTGTGTATATATGTATATACTCACACACACATACATATATCAGTACAGTTGTGCTTGAAAGTGTACACCCCCAATATTACAACATAAACTACTCTTCTGACCCTGACCAGAAGTCTCCATCCCCCAGTTCTCACTTGCATTCGTTTCCCCTTTAACACCAATGACAGCTTAGTGTATTTTGTGGTTGAGGTGCTTTATCCTCTGATAGTAAAGCAAATAATTCCTCTTGCAAAAACTAATTAAAAGAATCAGTTTCTGTATGACGCAAACAGGGCAAATGATTCATATAGAAAAATATAAATATATATATATATATATATATATATATATATATATATATATATATATATAAATACACATTCACATTTGTGACAGGGTGACAGAATACACAAGCTCTTTGCTTTCATCTTAGACTATCATTACATTTTCCCGTTCATCTCAACTTTAGCTGAGATTGAGTCCACTGAGTCTCTCTTGTCATCCTTCTTACAACATCTCCTCTGGATAAACTTATAAAGTGCAAATGCAGGGATGCTTAAACTAGGGATTCCAGCCAAGATGAATATTATAACATTGATATAAGCAGGAAATGGTTGTTTTTCTAGAGTTGGAAATGCCTCCTATAGGAAATGAAAGAATAAGGCATGTGGTTAAAAAAAAAAATTCAGATCAAGATTTTTTCTTTTAAAATTGTACTCACAGACTTGGGGTCCCAGACGAGATAGGTGGCCGTTTTGGAAACTTGAGTAACAAAGTAGAAGATCAGGATGAAGACCATGATAAGTGGACTGATCACTCTCCATGTGGCCTGCCAGAAGATGTTGGGCTTGTGGCCAATCATAAACTCAATGTCCTCGTTAAATCTGAAGGAAAGAGGAAGTGTAAAAGTTACAGCAAAAGGGTCTGAAGTGCAATCATAAAAATGACCTTGTGTTTTATTAGTCCTTTAAATACTAACTGATTTTTCTATTGGTAGAACATCATAGATGTATAATTTGTGTTTTAAATCTAGATATTTTTGTAATTTCATGTCATGTCATGTCTTGAAAATGTAAGGTTTAAAGTATAAAGCAACACTGCAGCCTATTATAGGTATATGAACTGAAATGTCTCCATGATATATGAAGTACAAAACCTTATCTCAACACCAGGTTGAATTACTATAAATCTTTTTGCCGTGTTGTTTGGTACGGCTCCTCCTCCTTTTATTGTATGAGGTGGTTATATTTTGTATTCTCACAGAAAGAGCCATGTGATTCACTATCTAAATCCCAAAAATACATGCATCTAAACTTTAAACGCATGGAAAGACTACTGATAAAACTAAAGTGTGTTGATCAAAGTTCGGTGCTTTTACACACTTTTGACCCTTCTTTGGGTTAGTCCTTTTTTTACCACCACAGCAGTTGTGTTTTAATTGTGACCCTAAATCATAATTGGTGACTACAAGTCTTTTCTGAAACATATACATATTTTGTAGCCTGACTACGACATCATCCTCAGATTCAATGTCATAAAGGTGAAGCTAAAGGGGGTTACAGTGGCTCAGTTGGTAGAGCATTGGCCTTTGAGCCTGAAGGTCGTGGGTTTGAGCCCACCATAAGACCTATATCACGACTCCCACTGATGACTGCTGTCATTGTGTCCTTGGGCAAGACCCCACTTTGCCTGAAGTCCCCGCTGAAAGATCAAGGCTCCTGTGGACTCACCACCTGCAGGAGGATCAGTGAGGGGCTGGTTCTCTGTGAAGTGGGTGCAGCTCTGACAGCCACCCCTCCAACCCAGAAATTGATTAAGGGGAAGAAAATGGACGGGTGGGGCTAAAGTTTGGCTACCGCAAGGCTATATGTTATTGTTTAATTTTGACAGACCTACCTGTCTATGCCATAGACGTATATAACTGCAACCATTTCACAGAAGCCAATGACCAGCAGAGGAATAGATCCTGCATAGTTATCAAACAGTGCCAACCAGTAGTTTCCAGAGCTTTGAGTAAAAATAAGTCCAAATCCAAACGAGACGAGGCAAGTCAAACCTGAAGCAGAAGAAACTGAACTCACTTCACTGGAAAGTAAAGCTGTCTTATATTGCCTGGTTGTTTATGTAATGCATTTACCACAAAACACTTCTTTTGGCCATGATTTTGGCAGGAGATTGAGGTCCTGCAGAGGACTCACCACCCCCTCAATGCTTCCAAACATAGTGGAGAGACCCAGGCAGAAGAGCATGATGAAAAACAGCACAGCCCACAAGGGAGAGATGGGCATCCGTATGATGGCTTCTGTGAACACAATGAAGGCCAGACCTGTTCCCTCTACTCCCTGGACCACACATCTTGGTTAGTTGATTATTCCATACAAACAGTCTGTCCATACTGTGAGCTCAACATACCTGGCTTAGGAAAAACTTCATGTCACAAGTAGTTAAATCCAAGCTTTCAACCAAAGCTGGGTTGGTCTGATTGAAGTATCCCAGGGCCTCGTTGTAGTTACTGTCAACAATGTTTCCTTCAGGCAAGTTAAAGGCATTCACCAGCTTCAGTATATTGCTTTGAAAGACAAATATGAATGTCAAGAACATGCTGGATTTAATTTCCATAGATCATGTTTCACTCACTCTGACACACAGTCGTCAAAGTTCTGAGTGGCCCTGAAGCCGATGATGGAATAGATCACAGTGGCGGAGTACACTGATGTGCAACCGTTTATGATGGAGATAAGAACAGCATCTTGCTCACAGTTGTTGCTGCAGAAACATATAGAACATACTTTTTGTGTCTTGCTTATTTGATGTAGCAACACAAAGATTGGCTATTTAACTCACTGAACAGAGTTGTAGCTCGAGAAAGAAATGAGACCTCCAAAAGCCACAGAGAATGAGTAGAAAACTTGAGCTCCGGCATCCAGCCATGTTGCTGGGTTCATTAACTCATTCACCTGCAAAATAATAGCTAAATGTATATTATTTTATTTATTTAAAACATGTTTTTATTGTTGGAAAGTATTGTGTCCTATCATTTCCGGAGTACATATTTTATGACCACTATTTAGCTGAAGCTGAACTTTTTATAACCATTGCACTTTCATCTCACTGCCCCGATCTGCACTTTGATAACATGAAGGAACTGGTAACCATAGTGACAATCAAATGTCATGATGTTAATGTCTGTTTTATACTCTTTATTTTTTTAAATTATATAATAAGCTGTGCTTATTTAATCATCATGACTAGGGGTGTGTGAAAAAACATTTGTAGATACATATTTCTTTATTTGATACCATATTAGTTTTTATGTTTTAATAATTTTACTAAGAAATAAACATGTTTTATTATAAAGGTAAAGGTAAAGGTGCACTTTATTAATCCCTGTAGGACAGTTCATCCTCTGCATTTGACCCATCCCTATGCCACTAAGGCTTATGTCAGGAGCAGTGATATGATAAGAAATAGAAATATATTTTTATATTCTTGAATATAATTATTAAAAAATTGTGTTGTTCCGACTGGTCAGGGGAGTCAGAGGCTGAAATATTGCATTTATATAATATTGTTTTATTCAAATGGGGCAGAACAATAAATTAGGGGCTAAATCCTTGATTTACAGTAATACTGAATCTCTTCGAAACGCTTGGAATTATATTGTATAAAATTTAAAGTTCCCTGTACTAAGGTACATACTGTATCAGTGAACTCAAAAGACACCCAGCCTTACACACGACCATACTTACATCTGGTGTGAATAGAAACTTTATTCCTTCGAAAGAGCCTTTAAGCGTTAGCCCTCTGATGAGGAAGATGGTCAGGACCAAATATGGCAGAGTGGATGTGATGTACACAGCCTATGGAAAGACAGGCTTATTAGATTCTCCACACAACAGCCCAATCAAATATTCAAGGTGCTGTAAGACCTTTCCCGAGGTCTCAATTCCTCGGATGGTGCAGACATAGAGCAAAGTCCAGGCAGCCATTAGGGACAACACCATCCACCACTGCAGACCCCCAGCCTGGTCAATGCTTTCAGATGTGTTCAGAGTCTCCCTGTACCAAAAGTAATCCACTGTGCTGCTGCGGGCGCACTCATCTACCACACCTGCAGAACAGACATTAAGCCATTGGTCAAAGTGCATGAACACAAACGCCAACATTACAGCTTGTGTGGAGACGAACCAGTCCTGTTTTCGTTAAGGGGACATTGACTCCACGGAAGAGGGTTTTGGAAAGAGTTGAAGAGGTACCACAAGATCCAGGCCATGATGGTGTTGTAGTACATTCCCACCATAAAGGAGACCATCAATGATGCAATCCCTATTTCAAATGTATGTTTTTATTTTTATTTAACATACAGATACAGAAAACAGTAGAAACATACTCACCCACTCCGGTCAGATGAGGATTTATCGACCTCCACACTCCCACACTGCCCTTCCTGAGCCTCTGACCGATGGCAAACTCCAGGTGCAGCAGAGGGATTCCCTCCAGCACCAAAAGGATAAGGAACGGAATCATAAAAGCACCTGAAACACAGTAATTACTTTACTTTTTATGTTGTAATTACTTTACTAATTCTAATTATTTTAATTTTTTTAAGTTAGAGTACTTAACTGTCATACCACAAAACTGGATGGGATCCATGTTACTAGTTCCTCGCTACAGTTTTGTTCTATCTCTAGTTCTAGTATTTTTGGCATCTGATCGGATTTTTCAGAGAGAAAAGTTAAAATTATTGAGTCATCATGTCATGGTCTGAACTACTTTTATTTTTAAAGGATTATCTCTAAGCAAAAACAAATAATTTGAATGGAGGAAAAGTTAGATAGCCCAGGATTTTAAGTCATATTTGAAGTTTTATTTGTTCAGAGATTAATGTTTCATGTAAATGCATTTTTTTGTGTTTTTATAAAAAATGAAAAGTCAGCCTCAAAAGAGCTATTTAGCATCTAAAACACTTAGGGGGTCATGGTTGAGTTCAAAAGCAGGCAAAAGTATGCGAGTAAACTGTTACTGGATATTGCTTTCTTGTCGACTTAAGTTAATAAATACACAGAGACTCGTACATTCTGTTGTTAATGTTTTACGTTATCATATACAATTACTCTTACCTCCTCCATGGCTCTGACACAGGTAGGGGAACCTCCAGACGTTCCCCAGTCCCACACAGAAGCCCACACAGGTGAGCAAGTACTGAGCCTTGTTGTCCCACTTGGGCCTGTCTCCAGCTTCTTCCTTCTCCATTCTCTCCAGGTCTCCATAAGTGGGAATCCTGTTCTCCAGTCCGGGATTCGGTAACTTGAGCTTCACCATTATATCTCTATCTGAAGATTTAGACTTCAAATGCGTAAAGGTATACTTGTTTGTGCAGTTGTATTATCCTTCCCGTCACGAACTCCTGTTCTCTGTTACTGTTTCATCCTCTGAATGTTCACTCTGACCCCAGGCATCTAAACTTCACTTATCAGTAGCTTATTAAGGGCTATACTTTATTATGTCTACTCAGCAGAAATGTAAAAGACACTCCTCCTGTCAGATTAGTCATACATCACATGACATCATTGATCATTTCAAACTTGAATTGAGTATTTATTATCTTAAAAATATAAAGATTAAACCATAGAATAATTTAAAATGTAAATCATTACTTAGTGCGACTTTGAAACCACAAAAATGAGTTGAATGATAAGTTCTAACTAAGCTCTCAAAACGATCACTAGTTTTCACAAGCATGTATTTTTGGCACTATCACATCTTATGATCAGTTTTTTCAGTGAGAAAGAGAGTACCAACCCTTGAGCTCATGTAACAAAAAAAATGTTTTAAGATAAAATGCTGAATTTCAGATTCAGCATGGAAACTAGCTGTTAGCTAATACTGACACATTTACAGCAATGTTGATTAATGTGTATCGTCCCTATTCAAATAAACTAAAAAAAAACAGATCAAGTAAAGCCCTACAAATCTTGATTTAAAGTGTAACAATAACCCCAAACCAGTGCTTTTGAGTACAGCTCAAATCAGATCCTTGATCAACCAATGTGTAGTGGAGGAAGAGGCTGTGAAGCTTACATTAGTAAGCACAGTACACAGTGCCTTCTTTCTTTATATTCCACCAGTATGCGGGGTCCCTGCCACTGTTTTCTTAGTTTTTGTAAATGGGATTAGGCAGTTTTATCTTCTGTCCTTGAAAGGGAAATTACTTTATTGAGAGGGGTCATGGGGTAATGAGTGGCCATGTTTTATGCTACTGTGTGTGCATTTAAAACAGCATAAACACGGTTTGTTTGCATGGTTTTTTATTTTTTTGCATGCCGTGTGTAAAGACACCAAACAAAGTATGATCTAGACTACAATTATTAAAATCTTACATTTACTCGATTAAATGAATTCTATTATATTCTTAAATTGCAGAATGTGTTCATCTGGTCTGTGAAGAGGCGCCTGTTTCAAAGTGCCCATGTTATCTCACAACCACCTGTGAAGTTTACTGTCAAAGACATTATAAACATATATAGACCTGAGTCATGATAACAACACAAAACCAACTCAAGGCTAGAACAAACATATAACACAATAAATCATTCACATTTTTACACCCAACACGTCATTTACAATTCATAAAATGCATTTTTTCCAACTCAAATAATAATGCAATCAGAATTTCTAATTGTAAACAATCTGTCAATATTAAGTTTCAAGATTGCTGTTGTTTTTCTTGCTGATGCATCTTTGGAAACACTTGTACAGAGCGAACGCTGGAATGATCAGACTTGGTATTCCGGACAGAAGGAAGATGATGAAGTAGACCCAGTCAGGATAGGACAACGTCTCCAGCTTTGGGAAGTCTTCCTACGGCCAAAACAGAAAACAAACATCCATCAGAAGCATATCATTGACTCGCTCGACAGAGATGGTGTCACTCACCGAGGCAGGATTCCATGCAATGTAAGTCAATGTGGAGCTGATTTTACTAACAAGATAAAAGATAAAATTGACCAGCACAATCAGAGGGTTGACCACTCTCCATGTGGCCTGCCAGAAGATGTTCGGCTTGTGCCCAATCATGAACTCGATGTCTTTGTTAAACCTGTCAAAGACGGACAACATTATTTAGCTATATTTGTTTGAAGGCATTGTTGCTTTTGTTATTCAGGGCTTAGCTCATAATAAAACCAAATTACAATTATGAATGTTCTGGGTTGGTATCAGCTTGTCAAAGGTATCAGAACTTACTTACTGATACCGATCCAACACATTTTCCCATATCCTATAACAATACCAATCAATGCGATTTTTTTAGGGAAAAACCAATATGTTAATGGAGTGTTTGCGCAGTTCCTTGTCCCTGGATTATATTTATGATCAAACTTAACTTTCATAGCTTTTTGCATAATAGATGGAAAAGTTATTTCAATTCATATCCTTTTGGAAAATTAACCCTACATATCAGTAAAATAAATAGCAAACACAAACATGGCATACCTGTCTATTCCATAGATGTAAACCACAGAAACCATTTCACAGAATGCAATAATGAGGAGAGGGACAGAACCAGCATAACCGTCAAAAAGAGCTAACCAGTAGTCCCCTGAGTGCAGAGAGAATATCAATGCAATCAGGAAAGATACAAGACACACGATGCCTGAAATACATGAAATAGAACATTTTTGTTTGTGTCCTTGTTAACAAATGTTAAATATGCAGTTAGGTTTGTTGTCCTACCTGTGAGTGCCTCTTTTGGGAAGTTCTTCGGAAAAATTTTAAGGTCTTGCAAAGGAACAACAACTCCTTCAATACTGCCAAACATAGTTGAAAGCCCAAGGCAGAATAGCATAACAAAGAACAGCACAGCCCAAAGTGGAGAAAATGGCATTTTTGTGATGGCTTCTGTGAAGACAATGAAGGCCACGCCTGTTCCCTCCACTCCCTGTGTCACAGTATGTAAACAAGTAAAGGTTTCAGCTACTGTCTGTGTGTGAAAAGAACATATAAAGAGTCTAGGATGCAGATACATGCCTCACTTAGAAATGTTTGCAGGTCGCAGGTGGGAAGGTCGAGCCTTTGTGTCTGGGTCTGAAGTGTTGAACTTCTGTAGCATTTCATTGTAATCTACATATGTCAGCATTGACTTAAAATACGTGACAATTGGAAACACAGTGGTGCAGCAGGGTAGGTACTGCGCAGTGTCTACGCACTATAGGATGACAGATAAAAGCCTTGAGCTACTTCCGGTGCATTTACCTCAATGGCTGATCATTGCATATACAGTGCAATGAAAGTATTCGCCCCCCTTGAACCTTTCAACATTTCGCCACATTTCAGGCTTCAAACATAAAGATATAAAAATTAAATGTTTTGTCAAGAATCAACAAGTGGGACACCATCGTGAAGTGGAACAAAATGTATTGGATAATTTAAACTTTTTTAACAAATAAAAAACTGAAAAGTGGGACGTGCAATATTATTCGGCCCCCTTGCGCTAATACTTTGTAGCGCCACCTTTTGCTGCAATTACAGCTGCAAGTCGCTTGGGGTATGTCTCTATCAGTTTTGCACATCGAGAGACTGGAATCTTGCCCATTCTTCCTTGCAAAACAGCTCGAACTCAGTGAGGTTGGATGGAGAGCGTTTGTGAACAGCAGTCTTCAGCTCTTTCCACAAATTCTCGATTGGATTCAGGTCTGGGCTTTGACTTGGCCATTCTAACACCTGGATACGTCTATTTGTGAACCATTCCATTGTAGATTTGGCTTTATGTTTTGGATCATTGTCCTGTTGGAAGATAAATCTCCGTCCCAGTCTCAGGTCTTTTGCAGACTCCAACTGGTTTTCTTCCAGAATGGTCCTGTATTTGGCTCCATCCATCTTCCCATCAATTTTAGCCATCTTCCCTGTCCTCAGCTGTAGTTATCTGCAGTTCATCCAGAGTGATCATGGGCCTCTTGGCTGCATCTCTGATCAGTCTTCTCCTTGTTTGAGATGAAAGTTTGGAGGGACGGCCGGGTCTTGGTAGATTTGCAGTGGTCTGATACTCCTTCCATTTCAATATAATTGCTTACACAGTACTCCTTGAGATGTTTAAAGCTTGGGAAATCTTTTTGTATCCAAATCCGGCTTTAAACTTCTCCACAACAGTATCTCGGACCTGCCTGGTGTGTTCCTTTATCTTCATGGTTCTCTCTGCGCTTTAAACAGAACCCTGAGACTATCAAAGAGCAGGTGCATTTATACGGAGACTTGATTACACACAGGTGCATTCTATTTGTCATCATCAGTCATTTAGGACAACATTGGATCATTCAAAGATCCTCACTTCTGGAGTGAGTTTGCTGCACTGAAAGTAAAGGGGCCGAATAATATTGCACGCCCCACTTTTCAGTTTTTTATTTGTTAAAAAAGTTTAAATTATCCAATAAATTTTGTTCCACTTCACGATTGTGTCCCACTTGTTGTTGATTCATGACAAAAATTAAAATGTTATATCTTTATGTCTGAAGCCTGAAATGTGGTGAAATGTTGAAAGGCTCAAGGGGGCCGAATACTTTCGCAAGGCACTGTATACTGTTCCATTTTATAAAAATGGAAAATTGCATTTAGCAAGTCAACATTTCAGAAATTCTTACATTTATTATTCTGGTTTTAAAAACAAATTGCATTTCAAGAGTCGTGTTCATATCTGCTCAGATAAAATTAAGGAAGAAGTGACTCACTGAACAGAGTTGTAACTGGAGAATGAGATGAGTCCTCCAAAGGCCAAGGAGAATGAGTAGAACACCTGAGCCCCTGCATCAAGCCATGTTGTGGGGTTCATGAGCTCATTCAGCTGCCAACAAATCAACACTTGATTTAAACTAAATGTGCATCGACTACAACTGAATAATTTGCGCTCCACTAACATCAGGTGTGAATAGAAACTTTATTCCATCCAAAGATCCTTCGAGGGTCAGGCCTCTGATTAGGAAGATGGTGAGGACAACATAGGGGAGTGTTGATGTGATGTATACTGCCTAAATCAAAATGATATACAATGTTGAATAATTTTTAATTTCTACTAATATTATAATAGTTATAGTGGTGGTTGTGTATGTCCACCAACCTTCCCTGTTGTTTCAATGCCCCTGATGCAGCAGACATAAAGAATAGTCCAAGCCACGACTAAGCACAGCACCATGGACCACTGCAGCCCTCCTGACTCCTCTATGGATGTGGAGATGTTCAGTGTTTCTCTGTACCAAAAATAGTCCACTGAACTGCTACAGTACGTGCACACTCAGATACCAGGTCTATTGAAACACATAGAAACAGATGTATAACCCAAATTTTGGCCACACCATGAATTATAACTTATATCCTGCCTGTTGCATTATCATTGAGTGGACACTGGCTCCAAGGCAGTGTGCTCTGGAAAGAGTTGAAGAAGTACCATAACACCCAGGCAATAATTGTGTTGTAGTACATTCCCACTAAGAATGACACTGTCATGGACGCCAGTCCTGCAAGAGCGGCCAAGAAAGGTTATACATTTTACAGTAATAAACTGCTGTCCAACAACAGAATTTGCTCACCAAGACCAGTCAGGCAGGGGTTAATGCTCTCCCAGACCCCAAGGCTTCCCTTTCGGAGCCTTTGGCCAATTGCAAATTCCAAATGCAACAATGGGATTCCCTCCAGAACCAGTAGAATCAGAAAAGGGATCATGAAGGCGCCTAAAGCAAAGGTAGTAGCACAAGTTAAGTGACTATTTGACATTTGTGTTTCAGTATGTTCTGACTTGGAGAGAAATATGCAATTTCTTAAACATACGGGTCATAGTTTTATGCCTTTTTATGACTGGACTTTAAAGTGGTAATAGTGTCAGAAATGATCCCTCCGCTGCGCGTCAGGGTCCGCTTCGCCCTGTCGGTACTTATTTTCCGATAATAACTTGCGTATTATACATGATCCCTTACATGTACGTATACCTCTAATATAACTATTACATCAGTATGTTATATTGTTTAACTACTTCAGTACTGATACAGTACATGACACATTTGAATAATGATAGTTCATTGTAAGGTGGTACAGTGTTATACTGGATAGCAGGTTTTCTTTGTGTTTTTTATGATGCTCTTATCTCTGTTGCAGGTGGAGTGTGCTGCAGGATGAAAGTTCATGTTGTTATGGAATCGGATGAAAACAAGGTGATTAGAAACAGCTGAATCACTATCAATTACAAATAGGAATTTATTGCCTTTAGTTGAACAATTTATAGAGAATAACTGAATTCAGAATACATTGCTTTTTCTTTTGGTGATATTCAGAGTACAGTTACTTTTCAAAATGTTAAGAATGCATTATGGCATATGATCAGGGAAGAAAAAAGCGAATGAAAATACAACTTTTTGGGCTGTATGTGTTCAGTTCAGTTCAGGTTATTACAAATACAAAATAAAAGCATGTAATGTTCATTCATCTTTAGCAACATTGCATTTTTGTAAATGGGACACGCTTGAAGCAATGTTTAGCTTATATTTTAGGAGCCCAAGACACGTGTGTTTTATCCGATATTTTCATAGATCCATGTTTTTATCCTTTTCAAATAGCAATAACAAAACATTCATTCAAATGTTTATATTGTGCAAATGGGTGCAAAAGCATTCAAGAAATCAGTAATCATTACTCTGATTGGACCATATAACGTTACATATTACTTACACATACAGTACATACAATACTTTTTAATGAGGTATTCGGGACTAAATACATGTTCAAAGTATTCTCAACTTCATTGTAGATAGATGTTTGCACATATAACGTTCTGGAGTCTTCCCGCATTACTTCCCACCTTTATACAAATATTAGGCTCAGTTCGTCCTGTGGCTTTTGAGCAATCCTGCCGACAAACACACACCCATGCCCCTGCTTGGTAGGGTAAATTATGTTCTTAATAATTTTATCAGACAATGATTTTTCTCACATACTCCTTTTGTGTAATGTATATGTCGAATGTATTTTATTATCCATCCATCCATCCATTTTCTTCCGCTTTATCCGTTGCCGGGTCGCGGGGGCAGCAGTCTAAGCAGAGACGCCCAGACTTCCCTATCCACACACACCTCCTCCAGCTCGTCCGGGGGGACCCCAAGGCGTTCCCAAGCCAGCTGAGAGACATAGTCTCTCCAGCGTGTCCTGGGTCTTCCCCGGGGCCTCCTCCCGGTGGGACGTGCCCGGAACACCTCCCCAGGGAGGCGTCCAGGAGGCATCCTGAACAGATGCCCGAGCCACCTCAACTGGTTCCTCTCGACGTGGAGAAGCAGCGGCTCTACTCCGAGCTCCTCCCGTGTGACCAAGCTCCTCACCCTATCTCTAAGGGAGCGCCCAGCCACTCTGCGGAGGAAGCTCATTTCGACCGCTTGTATCCGCGATCTCGTTCTTTCGGTCATTACCCAAAGCTCATGACCATAGGTGAGGGAGGGAACGAAGATTGACCGGTAAATCGAGAGCTTCGCCTTTCGGCTCAGCTCCCTCTTTACCACAACGGTCCGATACAGAGACCGCATCACTGCGCACGCTGCACCGATCCGCCTGTCAATCTCACGCTCCATTCTTCCCTCACTCGTGAACAAGACCCCGAGATACTTGAACTCCTCCACTTGAGGAAGGACCTCTCCACCCACCTGGAGAGGGCAAGGCACCTTTTTCCGGTCGAGCACCATGGCCTCGGATTTGGAGGTGCTGATTCTCATCCCAGCCGCTTCGCACTCGGCTGCAAACCGTCCCAGTGCATGCTGCAGGTCCTGGTTCGTTGGAGCCAACAGGACGACATCATCCGCAAAAAGTAGAGATGAAATCCTGTGGTTCCCGAACCGGACCCCCTCCGGCCCCTGGCTGCGCCTAGAAGTTCTGTCCATAAATACAGTGAACAGAACCGGTGACAAAGGGCAGCCTTGGCGGAGGCCAACATGCACCGGGAACAGGTCTGACTTACTGCCGGCAATGCGAACACAGCTCTGGCTCCGGTCATACAGGGACCAGACGGCCCTCAGCAGAGGACCCCGGACCCCGTACTCCCGGAGGACCCCCCAAAGGACACCCCGGGGAACACGGTCGAACGCCTTCTCCAAATCCACAAAGCACATGTGGACAGGTTGGGCGAACTCCCATGAACCCTCGAGTATCCGATGGAGAGTATAGAGCTGGTCCAGTGTTCCGCGACCGGGACGAAAACCACACTGCTCCTCCTGAATCCGAGATTCGACCATCGGGCGTAGCCTCCTCTCCAGTACCTTGGAGTAGACCTTACCGGGGAGGCTGAGGAGTGTGATCCCACGATAATTGGAACACACCCTCCGGTCCCCCTTCTTGTAGAGAGGGACCACCACCCCGGTCTGCCACTCCATTGGCACCGCCCCCGATCGCCACGCGATGTTGCAGAGACGTGTCAGCCAAGACAGTCCTACAACATCCAGAGACTTTAGATAGTCAGGACGGATCTCATCCACTCCCGGCGCCTTGCCACCATGGAGGCTGCCAACCACCTTGGTGACCTCGGCCAGGGAGATGGAAGTGTCCGCCCCAACATCCTCAGCCTCTGCCTCCTGAACGGAGGACGTGACGGGGGGATTGAGGAGAACCTCGAAGTATTCCTTCCACCGCCCGACAATATCCTCAGTCGAGGTCAGCAGCCCTCCACCCGCACCATACACGGTGTTGGCAAAGAACTGCTTCCCCCTCCTGAGGCGCCGGACGGTTTGCCAGAACCTCTTCGAGGCCGACCGATAGTCATGCTCCATGGACTCTCCGAACTCCTCCCAGTCCCGGGTTTTTGCCTCTGCAACAGCCCGGGCCGCGGCACGTTTGGCCTGCCGGTACTGGACAGCTGCCTCAGGAGTCCCACGAACCATCATTGCTCGATAGGACTCCTTCTTCAGCCTGACGGCTGAATTTTATTATTATATTTAATTTATATTTATTTATTTATTTTTAAACAGGCTTACCTCCTCCATGCCTCTGACACAGGTAGGGGAACCTCCAGACGTTCCCCAGTCCCACACAGAAGCCCACACAGGTGAGCAGGTACTGAGCCTTGTTGTCCCACTTGGGCCTGTCTCCTGCATCTTCTTTTTCTATTCTCTCCAGGTCTCCATAAGTGGGAATCCTGTCCTCAATCCCAGGGTTGGGGATCACTAGCCTCATGTTGTCCTGCTGCCTGGCTGCAAAGAATGCCCTGTCACTGTACTATCTTATCTACATGTATCACATCTGGCATATAGTCGATTTGTTTCCAGGTCATCAACATAACCGGGATTGTACCTCTGCTATTGACCTGGTCGTGTGTGTGTGTGTTTATTTATTTTTTTCAAATTCAAAAGTTGTGTCATTAAGATTCAGAATCTGTGAATAAATAACATTTACACTAACAAACATGTTAGTTATTTGCACAGAGTGACTAAGCTTGGGTAATCATTCAATGTTGTATTGCATGCAGGATTCTAGGTAAAATACAGAGAAATGTTTTATAAAGTTATAGGAAATAGCAGTTTTTTGCTTGCCCTGTATTTGTGCACTCATGTTGCCCATATTTGAACACGTTACGGCGCAACAAAAAACAATGGAAGATTGGAGAATAGTTCTAGGTAGATAGGTAAAGAGACAGAGCTTGATGAGCCTTAACACTTTTATATTTTCTGATTAAAATCTAGCTACTAAATAGTGGTCAGAGTACACTTAAGGTATTTCCAATTAGTAATTTGATCTTCACTTATCCTCACCTCTTGGAGAGACTCAGGATAAATCACAAACAGAAAACTGCACCTGCACTCTGTCACCACTAGAGGGTGTAACTACAGCGTTTCAGACAGTACAGGACTCACTCAAAGGCCAAGCTAAACATGTTATATTGTGTCTTTGTTTTACTGTTGCAAGGTAAAAGTGTTTGATGTAAGTTGCTATTTAGTTCTTAATATAGTAATATTCTATGAGGTCTACCTTTTCTTTGTGTATATATTTCTATATGCCATAGCCTATATCAACAGATTTTTACGAGTAAACAGATTTGTAAAGGGAAATGCAAACTCCGACACCGAGTCAGGTTTGTGAAGAGGCCGCCGTCTCACATGACTGTTATGTTGATGTTTTGGCGTAAACTTGAGTTATAAATAGTGAACGACTTGCCTACTCAGGAATAATGTGTGTGTAATTGTTCTATGATAGTCTGGATGTTGAGCCCATGTGATGGTGCGTGTTTGTTTCCATGCAGGAATCCTGTGCTAAGCTTGAGGACAATGTTTCGTGGGGAGGGAGGGATGAGGCTGAGGGGAAAATAGATATGGGGGTGGATTTAGCGGGACTAGACAGACAGCAGACCGGCTGTCCCAAGCTGCGCTGATCCTTCGCAGTCCCCGGCTCTGCTGGTCTGCTCCACCTGCCTCCTCCAGGAACCCGCAGGACCCCCCTGCCCCCTGCCCGGCTGAGGGACTCTGGTCCCTGGAGACTGGTTTGTTGTCGTTACCAGAAGAGGACTGCGAGCCGCCTCAGCTACAGACACACTGCATGGATGAACCATGGCCACGTTTGTGTGCAGGGTTCAATTTTTAGATGACACCGATCCTTTTAACAGCACAAACTTTCCAGAACCGACCAGACCTCCGCTGTACACCTTCAGAGAGGACATCCCGCTCATCAACCAACTCGCAGGAATCCACCGCCTCCTCAAAGCCCCCCACAAGGTACGGTGCCACCAGAGCTTAACATTAATGCCATTGAATCTTTTAAAATATATAGCAACAGGCTCAGTCAAAAGTTTTTACGGTGCTTTTATCAACATTTTGCTTTGCTTTTTCCACATCCAGCCACTGTAGTCCCTAATGAACTTCCATGGCCACCAATGCTATATTTAACACTTGCCAGCTAAAGTGATTGGCTCACCAGCTCCAGGAATGCAACAAGGTTGCAAATGTTAGAGCCTTCCAGTCCTCAGCAACATCCACCTCACTGCTCCAAAATAGATAGAGATTAATCTGACACAATAATCTCATAATATTACTGTATGAACTGGTGAACAGGTGTTGACCACTGGTCTTTGAGTCAGATTGACACTAGGGGAACTTTGGGGTGTTCTGTTGTTCAAGTGGAAGCAGTTCCCTCATGGGGAACAATTACATATTTAGTTTTGATTCTCAAACCAACATGGCACAATCTCTGATGCATTAATGTGAACAACAATTGCATTTAAGTTTTGATTACATCAAATCATGACAGTATAAAACATTTATCATAAGGGTAATTGTGCCTTATAGCCCACAACGGGTAATTTATGTGTATATTTACTAATATGTATTATGTCATTTAGTAAATAAAATAAACATTAACCATTAAGCATTATTCTTTCTGTTAATGTAGGCATAGATTTGTTCGAAACCGAAAAGGATTTGAAGACTGTAAACCAGCTTTCAGCAGCAAAGTGCTTTTCCAGCCCAGTGTATTTTGCCCCATCTTAGAAAGCCACAACACAAATGAAAAATTGCCTGAGGAGCAGAAAAGCCTATGATTACTACCTATGCAGGGACACATGGCACAGGCACTTTTATTTCCTCATAAGTGAGCAAAGGAAACTACTATTTGACCAACCTCCTAACTATGATGCAAAGTAAATATGTATGATTTTACCTATTCAGGTGTACACATGGCTACCTGTTTCTCCATTTTTCTCTTCACACGTAAAAGCATGGCTTACTACAGTATATGATTATATTGCAATGATAGCTGAGTGCTTGTATGGCTGACTAAAGTATAGGTCACTTGTCCCAGAATTCTTGTGGCCAACGTCTGGATACTTTGTTCTCTTTGGCTGTAGCGCTAACCTCTGCTGCTGATCGAGATCCATGCTTTCACTCTGCATAGCACTTTGTCAACGCCTGGTCCTAATTTGATAAGTACAGTATTTGTGAGTAAAAATATAGTACGTCTTTATAGTTCTAAACACTTCCCTTCTTGCAAATAGTCATTACATTTTTTGGGAAATTATTGTTAATAATTCATTATTTTATTATGAATTGTGCATAATATTATTGTGCTTGAAGTTATCAATCAAGTTATCAATCCTTGTCGTCATGGCAATGGATGTTTCTCAACCTCACCTCTGTTTATCATATCGGTTTAGAAGAGAACGAGCTGCAACAACACATTCAAAGAACAAACATGCAATCAGTGAGGGGTCATACAGTACTTGGGGACTCGGAGACTAAGTTTTATCAATTCAAAGTCAGTATATAGTATATCTTTAATAATATGGGTATAGTTCTAGCTGCATGAAACACACCTTTCTCTTTCTTCAATAGTGTAATTGTTTTGTAACTTAAAAGTAAAAGTTCTCAATTACATAAAGGCCTTGTTAACTGTTTTCCAGCCTTTGTGTTGTTTTAACATGTTTGTAATTACTCTCCTAGCCCTTTCCTTTGTGCAGTCTGTTGAAGAGCTATGATGAAATAAGTGTAAAATATACTACAGTTTTTGAGCTGCCACTCAATGTGATATATTGTTTTCTGTATTTTCTCCTATTACCCAAATGAAGTGTTTTGGGAAAGAGACACACTGTTGAGAGCTTGCCATTAGAATATTGAGTTACAAAGTTTAAAGCTATCCAAGATTTAACATTGAGTAATATTTGTAGCAATAGAAATTAGATGGAGATGGATGGTGAGGAGCTATTTTGACTACTGCCATGTTAAACTAAGCACCAAAGCTTGTTCATCAATCAGCATTGCTTTTGATCATAGGAGAAATGTAATATTATTGCTGAATAATGATAACAGATCGTGCTCTTTGTGGAAAGTGCTTATAGAAGTGGGCCACTGGGACAGGTCGTGATTAAGCTCACCACATGGGAACCCCCCTGCTCCGACCCCCTTATTTGATCATTCCTTTGTCTTAAGATTACCCAATGGAATTGCTTGGAGTCTACAGTGTATTTGTTTATAGTAAATACTATCATGGGAGTCACATCACAAGCTGCTATATTTTTGTTTATACCCATCAAATGTTAAGGAAAGGAAGAAGTACACAACACCCAACATGTTTGGTGTTTGTAATCTGTATGTGACAGATGATTAAAAAAAACGGTTTTATTTTGTCACAAAAAGTATTGTGGCTTGTGTCATGAGTGGAGATATAAACTCTTAAACTTGAAGATGCCTCTAGAATTCTCTCCCACCTTTTCTCATGATTGCTTGGCTGGAGTGGACGCACCCATCCCAGGCTCCTGTTAGCACGCTGCTGCCTCAGTAAATATAGCAGGGTTATATTTAAGCCCTGAGTCCATCCAGCAGTCCGCGTCTCACTTACCAACAGAGAGGGAGGGACAATGTCGTCATGTATCTTGACTGGAATGCCACATGTCCATTTTAATAGTATAGCTAAAGTTAAAAGCAGAATAAACTTTATTAATACACAACTAATATAAATTAATAACAGCATGTTATAGTATAAAACAATTATTTTTTCTGATTTTGCTTTTATTGCACCTGCAACTGAACTGATGCCCTGATGCCCTGTGATATCAGTGAGTCAGTGCGGTTCTAAAAAGTGTCAAATATTCAGTGGTGTTTTGCTTTATATTGAACATATAATCATGGTATTCTATATTTGCTGCACGAAGGGAATCCGATCATCTCAGCAGAATAGAAAGACTTATTATGAGTGCAGTGTTTCCATTAATACAAAAAGACTCGATTGAGAGGGATTCTTTGCTTGCTTTCAAGAGGTGGGAAAGTGATTTGTGATCGCTAAAATACATCTTTAATTCTACTTGGGCAATGATAATTTGGAATTACAGTACAGTTCAGAAAACAGTACAATTCTGTGCACTTTTTTATTTTTGAATCCCTTTTTTCGACAAAATATCACAATCGTCCAGCAAATACAACAGTCATAAATTCCATAAAGTCTTTTCAATGACTTTTCTTGCGTGATTATGTAATCGGTTTTGCAGATGTGAATCCAAAACACAAATATATCTTTTCATGTTGGTATTAGAACATTACAAATCAAATTTCTTTCTCGTGTCCGTTTCTGGATCTGGTCTTGCAGGCTTAACAGCTTCATCGACCTAATCCCTTTAACAGTAATTCAGAAAACAGAGCCACCACACCACATTGGAAAACAGCTTCTTTTTCTGGACCATTGTTCAAACAGCGGGTCTCATAAAGCAACATTATTTTACAAGGTTGTGGTTTTAGGAACATTGTGCGAATCACATCCAGGGGCAAAAGAGAAACTCTCAGCATCTATTGTCATTCTACACATCGCACATATCTACCATTCCATTCCTCTAGTCTACACCATATTTCCCATGGCTAATCATTAGTTACTTGTCACAATACTAAAATTATACCCCATACATCAATTACATTTGCGATACCACAATGATATACTAAATATTGGACATTGAGCGAATTAACAAATAACTTAAAAACATGTTTATATTTGTTGCTACTACAAATGGGAAATAAACTGAATCTGATTCTGAAAACCGCAACAACAACAATTTTATTTTGCAGTTTTTACTCAAAATCATAAAAAACTTAAAATGCTCAACTAATATCATATTGTGTATGTTTTTATATTATTTTTTTTCAGTATCAAACTATTTGAATAGTTTGAATACTAGTTGTAGGATTGATTATCATCATGGAAAAAAAATAAAAAATCTGTCCTCCTTAAAATCTCTGCAAGACCATTGGAGTCTGACAAAAAGCATGAATTAGTAGGTAGTAGTAGTAGTAAGTAGTACAAGTTCATAAAAATTACTTACTTACTGTTTTCTTCTTCCCACAAAAGCGCTGATTTTCTTTCTTTCGTACCTATACCAATTTCAAGAGGAATGAACTGTTTTAATTGTGTTAATATTGTGTTCTAGCTCGATGACTGTGCGCTCCAGCTGTCTCACAATGGCACCTATCTGGATTTGGAGTCATCTCTGGCCGAGCAAAGAGACGAATTGGAAGGATTTCAGCAGGACGACACAGGGTAGGAATACTGTCTCTCACACTTCTTCATGCCAAGTCTTCTGCGTCAAAACACCTTTACCTGTCCGAAACTTGCTGACCAAAGTGCCGTTGCCCGTGTACTTTTTTTTGGCTTGATTTGTCGCTTTTCAAATTTGGAAGAATCATAAGCTGCTGGATGAGGAGTTCTTGGAAGCCACTGTCCACGGAAAATATGAAGCACTGTGGAAACCCGACTGATACACCCTCAGTTTCTCCAGCTACTGCAATTTTACAGTCTACAACTTTATACTGTTTGATTTTCCCCCAAATAAACCCGTTTTAGACTAGTAAATCAAATGCCTAGTTTAATAGAGGGGATCAGATATAAGCCAGGATTTCAACCATCAAATCTGTGCAAAATCTAAGCCATGATCTCAAGAAATCTGAATGAAATGTTGTAATTTTATACATACAGTTCAATGGTAAAGGTGCATTTCTCAGCTGTTCTGACCTGCTTTTTGTGAAGTGGTCCGATACCTGCTTTACTATTTGATTATGCATGTTTGTATCCTGTCCACTCCTCAATTATAGCTTGACATATATAACTTGCAACCTATATTTTCAATAAAAAATGGAAAGTTTAAAAACTAACTGCAAAACAGCATTACTTAGATGAACCCAAACCACCAGAACAGCTGAGGAATGGAACTGTATTAATCGTTAATCTAAATAGACCTTTTGTTGTCAAGCTTCACACATTTAGGGAATCTGTTGCTACGGTAACCCCTGTTGCGTGTTTTCACCTGTTGCATGGGCACCATTGTGTTTTAGCACAGTGCTTTGTCATGTATGATGCCTCATAACAGTGCCTGTTACATACAGTATTGCACTGAATGTAAATGTAAAAACCTCCTGGGATGTTTTTGCACAGAATAAAAGTCAGGCCTCTTGTGATTTTGGAGATTGGTTTCTATGGATGAGCTTTTGTTTGTGTGGGGAGTCTGCTCTGAGTTAATGTATATGTGACAGCCAGGTGATGGTCATTTTGAGGTTTTAGACAGCCGGTTTCATGTCAGTCCCCTCTGAAGAATTGTGAGAATTATGCATTTTATTTGGTTAAATTCCAATAATCAAGTTAATACTTTTTATTCATGAATGTATTTTTATATTGAAAATGTATGTTTCAGGAGCTCACAATATCCAATGTCTGTTATTATCTGTTTAATTGTTGTATTAACTTACAATGTTGTCATCTCTCTGTCTGCCAGAGTGGTAAAATGATGGGACTGATTAGCATTTGGCTTTTTATTCAATTACATTGACAATACATTTTTGTGTTAATTAAACAGTGTTTGAACAAAAGATAAATAATATATTTGTCATAGTATTCAATATTTCTTATAATTATTAGGTATGTAACTATAATAATTATGTGGGTACATATTTCTGCTTTTTTTCTGGTATTTTATTATCAGTTGTTTTGAAAATCCAGAATAGCTGTTTTGACTGGATACTATGAGTATGTGATTTAGAGAACAGATAATCAGACTGGAGCACATGTGGACAGAGCACTGCCACTTTTCTGCCATGTTCCAGAACATGTTTCCACAGATTTACCAACACCACAGTGTTGTGTCTGCTCTTGTAGTCAGCTGCTCGTCCCCAGGGCCCAGATGGATATCAGCATAGGGGAACAGATTTTCAGATGCTCTCTTGTCTTGGGCTTTTCCCACTGTTGGAACCTTTTCAGCCCCTGGGTCAGTCCACTGTTAACTTTCAACCATCTGCAAGTATGTCCAAAGTCTGGTCCATGGGCCGTCTGTGACTTTCAGTGTAATTTCATGTGGCCCTCTGCCTTGCTAACCCAAAGTAGATATTAAGATTTTAAGCTTTGTGACCATGGGGCAACAGATAGAAATTATGCCTTGAATATTCTCTGGCTAGTTTTTGTTCAACATCAATGTTCTGAACTTGCAATGATAAATTGATGAACTTAAGCGACTTTCCTTGTCAGACCAGTGACACAAGTACAAGCATAGACTGATTTATTTTAGAAATATTTTTCTTTTTATTCTCAGATTTAAACAAATGTACACATGTAACATGATCCAATATCAACATTCTTCATCAGTGCTTATGACATGAAGGCCTACTGTAGTTCATGGAACATGTGTAAATACCTTCTCTTTCTTTATAAAGTAAAAATTCACCTTCTTCAACCTTTGAAAGTGAATAAGGAGGATGCTTGTTTTGCGGCCAGAAAGTGTTTCTCTTGTGATGCCTAAAAGAGAAATATGCATGATCAAATCCCAGCCTTAGGCAATATTATAATATCCACTCTTTGTTGCACACATTTTCATTTATTTATTTCATTGTTTCCTTCTCATGTTTTCTCAGATCCAGAGGGAAGAAGCACAGTGTGGTCTTGCGGACCCAGCTGACCGTCCGAGTCCACGCTTGTATTGGTGAGTGTGCCTCTTTTGTATACAGTCTATTAGTACATGTGAGATCTGTGCCCTCTCCATTTTCTGTCAATTTTGAATCTAAAGCTGAAACAATCAAGTTTTTTAAAAATAACATTTGAAGTTGGACTCTCATAAAAAGTAATCAGGAATAAATGCCAAAGTGCATAGGGATATTCTTTTAACAATAATACATGTAATACTTTAGTCATAGAGTGATAGTTGGTTAAATATTGTGCTAAAACCTGAATCCTTCATTCATTTGATTTGTTGAAGGACAAACTAAACCCCTGACCTGGATTATTGGCACCTGTTGACTGCAACATATATGTAGGCTAAATATATTATACACTCACGTGCTCTCTAAACTTGGATCAGTCTGATGACTAAAGCATTTGGGTCTAATCAAATGAGCTATCAGCTAATGTTTTACATTGTTCCTTTTTGCAACCTCCCAGAGAGTCAAACAAGGGACTAGTTTACATAGTGACAACATGTGAATAAATGGTTGTTATAATAAGTGAGAGAATTTTGTCAAGTACGGTCTGTATTATGTGAATTACAAAAATACAACACTAGACTTATTTATAGATGTAAATGGAGAGAATTGTCTGCTTCTGAAATGATTTACTCTACAGCTACAGTTTGTTGAGTGAGGGACAGGAGGGAAATAAGGTCTGCAACTGTTATTTTGGTCATCAAGTTGTCTTTAGATCATGAAGATTTTTACTAAATTCCGTCCATTAAAACACAAATGCTCCCATCTGCTATGAGTCTTCCTCAACCTGAGTCCTATTATCTCCTCTCTCAGCCCAGGATGTCTGCAGTCTGTTAATCAGAAAAATACACATTACAAAATACATTGAGGATGCATTCATTAATTGTTGTTTAATTGGGATTACATTCGACACTAATGGAAAGCATTTTGCAGATAATACTGTGGTTCATGTTGTCTGTATTTCCTTTAAGACTTGATTTCGTGCCGCCTCAATGAGCTGCTTCAGTGCTCTTCTCCTGCTCGCCCTCGATTATCGCTCTCTAATCCCCAGAGCTTTGACTTTAAAATCTCCCTGATAGTGGCTAGTGCTACTACTGAGAAATCTGCTACATTTAACCATGGAGCTTTCAGTTTAAATTGCTGTATTTGTTTTTATTGACCCAGTCATGCTTCTGCTTAATCGCTCTCGAAATGAAAACGTTTTGTCTTTATAACTGAATGTCATTTGTTAAATGACATGTAAATTTGATTGTATTTGTATAAGATTATTGTAAGGGTGCTTGTTTTCTTTTGGACAGAACCATGCTGAATGTTTTATGTGGTTACATTACCAAGCAAAGCATCAAAGCAGTAGAAGTATGTTTTAAATTAGACTTCCCAAAAGCGTGCAAAAGGGACAAAAATGCCTATTTGTCCCACCTGCTTTTTCGTATTTGCCTAAAACATTAAAATCATAGCCTAAATTTGTTATGTCTGTGTTGCCATGTTCGTTTTGGTTTATTTGTCCTGTGATTCTTCAGTTGTCTCCAGTCTCTGTACTCTCCAGAAATTATGATTTTTGGGAGCATAAGACCTGTGTAATGTAATGTGTTTGAGGTATGGAGGGACAATACCTTTTGGGAGTTACAAAGCCATTTTACCGATGATTTTAACTATCGGCCCTCTACCTTTACTCATGTGACACCTGCTGGCCTTGTCCAAAAAGGAAGTATATAATGTCCCTGTAAACCTTTTTTGAACTAGAGGTGTGTAGATGTGAAAACAAATCTCACCCATTCACTCTACAACATTTTAATAGCTCCCTTGTGTTATATTAAGTGAAAGCCATGCAGACGTCTTGTATCTCTTGGCTTTCTGACAGTATCAGTCACTGTTTTGGGGTTAAATTTATCCCCATGAGTGAGTTTGATGCAGACTGTAGCTGCAGCCGGAGGTGGAGCAGGCATGCACAGAGGTGGAGGTGTTATCTTTAGAAAGTGTTGACAGCACAGAAACATGTGAGCGAGAGCTGTGCCAAACTACAGCTCGCCTCATTACTAGTAACTTACAGGAAGGAAAAGGTTGGAAACAAAGGAAACAAATTACATCACTGAGAAATGATCCAGAATGATTTGCTTTAAATATTAAGTTGAGATTATCCAGAACCGCTCTAAAAAAAAAAAAAAAAAAGCCACCTGAGCAACTTGTCTTGAGCGCATTTGTTCAAGGATGGAGGATTTTGTTCAATATTTGTCACATGTGTCTAACTAGAGTGAATTTGAAAATTAGAACAAGAGACCACACTTGGCTCAGTATGTTTTTTCTTTGCCCTTTTTGTTTTTTACGCCATTAAACTGTGTCCAAGTTCTCCTCATTTTTATATAATCATTTTATAGCAAGTAATTTATAGTGAGTTAGTATATATTACTGTATATATTTTGAACACAAGTAAATATATAAATACTACAAAATCTTTCTAGCAAGGGCTTCATTCCTTTTTTGTGCTCAAAAAAAAGCACTGCCCTTCCCTGTAATGTTCCTTTATATTTTTTTCATTCATGCGGGTCTGCGTAGCACTGAATCCTACAGCAAATTTCCATTGAGACAATAAAGTTTATCTTATCTCATCTTATCTTATCTTAACAAATACATTCCTCATTTTCTTACATTTTTTGGAGTTTTAGGTCTAAGCCAAGTCAAGCTGCTACATAGTCTCTGACGCAGATCAATAACATATGTAATAAAGTATATCCATTGTAAATCTGACTGAATGCTTGGTTAGCGCAATTTGGCTTCAGCAGACAGCAGTCAGTAGCATGTGTTGCTCCAGTTCAACAGCCGGTCAGGTGTGTATTGTTGCTCACTTTTTCTGAAGAAGCAGCTCAAGAGGAGAATCAGCTGGTTGGAACAGCGATTTAATGTGAGCTGGCTGCGCTGTGGGAGATAAGGCCTGGTAATGGCATGGTGTGACACAGAGATAATGCTCCGTAATGGTCGCGTTTGGCTCCACATCTGTGCCAGCTGTAATAGTGGGCAAATCACAGGCTGATTCTGACACTGTGCTTATGTTTCACTTTCAAACGGCTGCATGCTTTAGGAAGATCCACAGCTGCATACAGAATGTGTGTAAGAAACCGTTTTTTTTCTAGTTATTGTGTTGGCATCATGAAGAACACTTTTAAACAGTTCAAAATTACACAATATTGTTTCAGGGGCTTTGTAGTGATGGTGTATTATCAAATTAAAAATACTGAAATTATTTGTTAACAAAAACAAAAACATATTGAATGTCTTTTTGCCCGTGTTGTAGGGGCCTTTTATAGCTATTCTATCATTATTCCAAATGAGAAATTTAACTTTTTAACACAACACATAACACTGTGAAACCCAAGCGTTAAAACTAAAGAAAACATCTAAACATAGTAAGCAATTAAAGCAATGTAAAGCAATGCATTTTGTCTAGCAACCTGTTCACCCAAACCCTGTCTAGAATTGAAGAGTGTCCGGGGGTTTGACTTTTGATTCCACATAGCCTACTTTGTCTGTCTCTTCTTGTGTCTTTAGTGTGATTGACAACAGTGGCCTGAGCTCAAAGCTGAACTCCCTGATCCTCAATGAGTCAACACACATTTCTCTCTCTTGCTGTGGACAAGCTTAGCCCTGTCACTCATCTACTTATATCTGCTGCGATATCTTTAGTGTAACTGGCTTCACTGTTTACATGTTGTGCTGTTTGTTTTACCTAAAATTGCTAGTTCTACCCACCCTAAATACACCGACTATGTTCCCTCCTTCACTTCTTGCTCCACAGAAGGCAAGTTTCAGTGTTTAAAATAGGTGACATGAAATAGTTTCCTCTCGGCCTGACCAGCGCGGAGACCCCAAGGAGTGACTGCGCATTGTACCCACATGACTCATGGCTCACGGGCTGCTGACATGGGGCTGATGGGGCTTTGGGGAAGGAAGTGCAGTGCGAGGAAAGTAGGAGAATAACTTAACGGCACAAGCTGCTGTACATGAGCTCGTAACACGCATCGATCCTGCAGCTGTTCCCATGTCCTTCTGTTGCAGAGGACATCCCAGGGAACGAGGCGCTGTGACTTTGGGACGACTGGAATCTTTATTATTGACGTTATTGTCTGTAGTATTATTTCATAAACGTGCGCTGCCTCTGGTGTAATGTATAAGATGCATACTTTTATTTTGGAAAAGTAAACTTGCATTTTAAAGTTGCGGTTTTTAATGTTTAAAACACACACAAAAATGTGCAACTGGCTTTTTTCACATGCATGTAATTTTGGGCTTTGTCATAATGGAATATCAGATTTTTCAGACAGAAAAGTGAAACAGATAGGGCCACCCTCATTCAGCCAATCAGCTCTCAGCTCAAAGCATCAAATAGTGACTTGCAGGGCTATTTCTTTCAAGTATAATATGTTTTTGAACAAGATTAACACAGTATGATGTGGTCTGATGTTTCCACAGCATTTTAATTTTAGTGGAAACAAACATGTATTTTTTATGAAAAACGCAAGTTGAGTACCCCAGCTTTAAATTATGGTTTCCACAGACACAAGAGAGTCTATGCCATTTGGCCCTCCTTAAGCTGAACGAAGAAATTATGATTTTATGAACAGATACACTTCCCTAGCTACAACTTTTGTATTACTATATCTATGTATCTAATTTTTATGTAATGATTAATGTCCACTAGATCTACATCACTATAAAGTTAACCTAGTTTGTAATCAACAAAACCAGCCGTGATGAGCAAAAACACAGTCATAAAAAATGCTTTGTGATGTTGCGGTTTCAGGACTGTTGACATTGACGGCCTAAACTGAACTACTGCTCAATGGTCGCGACACTTCTGTGGATGTGGCAGCTTTTTTCCCTAAGCTCTAGTTTCACTCACAAAACAGGAGCAGCCAGCTGTTGTGATCTGGCAACGCACACTGCTGTTTGGGGTCAGCTCTCCCAAAGCATGCTTCATTTACTGGAATCAAGCACAAAAAATACGTAAATA